AGGAGGAGGAGGAGGGGGAGGAGACGGAGAAGCAAACGGAGGACGACACGCAGCCACTCAGCCGAGGCAGCCGCGCGAAGCGTCTGCCCCCTGCTGCTGACGACGGGAGCGAATCTCCAGGCCCTTGCGGTCCTTCGCTCCGGGAGCGTCTCGGAGGCCTCCTGGGGACCCTGGTGAGGCCCTTTCTGGAGGCCTCTCGGGCCCTTCTCGGGGATCCATTGGGGCTCGCTTCGGGGCCTCTCTCTAAGGGGCTCTCTCGGGGCACTCCCGGAGTCGGCGGCGAGCGAGAGGGGGAACATGTTCAGTCGGGCCTGTCCCTCTACAGGGGGAGAGTTCAAAAATAGTTTTGAAATAGTCTGGGGACGATCTTTTTACTATTTCTGACCATGTGGGAATATCTTTGACTATTTGTGTTAGAATGTTTCGTCCAAAATCCGCCTGTAGGGGGACATGCCCGACCTAAGGGACATGAGGAAGAGCAGGCCTGCTCAGAGGGCGCGAGGGACTTCTCAGAAGGCCTCGCGCCTTCCGAGAAGTGCTCCGCGTCTCCGGGGAAGGCTCGGAGCACGTCTCTCTCTCTCTCTCTATCCCTCTCTCTCTCTCTTTCTCTTTTTCTCTCTTCCTCCTCCTCCTCCTCCCTCCTCCTCCTCCTCCCTCCTCTCCCCTCCTCCTTCCTCTCCTCCTCCTCCCTCCTCCCTCCTCCTCTCCCTACTCCTCTCCCTCCTCCCTCCTCCTTCCTCTCCTCCATCCTCCTCTCCTCCTCATCCTCCTCCTCTCCTCCTCCTCCTCCTTCCTCCTCCTCCTCCTCCTCCTCCTCCCTCCTCCTCCCTCCCCCTGCTCCTCCTCCTCCTCCTCCTCCTCCTCCTCCCCGAAAGCGTTCGGAGAAGGCCCGCCCCGTTTCTCACTTCCACCCCCCGGGGGCTCGCCGCCGATGGGGGCCTCGGGGGCCCGCCTGGTGCCATCTTGGAGGCCATCGGCCAAAGGGGTGGTAATTACTCCAGATTTCGTAGTAAAAGGGAGGGGTCACCACCCTTCCAGACCAGAAGTTTTAGACCCCCCCCAGACCATCCATGAGAGGGCGGCCCTTTGCCCAGACCCCCCCCGAACCCTTCAAGGCAGCTCAAATCAGACCCCCCCCCCGAATGTGACCCCCCACACACTTTGGTATGGAATCTGGAGTACCCAAGTGCGCCCCCTCCATCTGAGACCGAACATGGGCCTCTTGGGCGCTCGAGTGGCTGTCTTGAGGCCATCCTGGGCCTTGGGGGCCCTCATGGCCCCTCTTGGAGCCATCTCGGGGCCTCCAGAGCCCATCGGAGGCGAAAAGGCGAGAAGGCAAACACCAATGGGGAACAGAGGTTTTGAATGAGCTTGGCCTCTTGGAGGCCTCCTTGGGAGACTCGGGAGACACCTGGGGCCGTCCTGGGGCGATCTTGACGGCTGTGGGAGGCATATTGGAGGCTATATATAATCATCGTGCGATCTTTTGAACGATCTTGGAGACCATCTTGGGCTCTCTGGGGCCCTCTTGGAGCTACCTGGGGCCAAAAAGGGCCCTCTGACACCTCGCGGGGGGAGGTTTCCACACCCAGGAGGAGGGGGGAGGAGCCAGGGGGGAGGGGAACCCCCCTTCCCGAAGTGTAAGATGGGGGGAGGAGCAGAACGAACTCCATAGACCACTCTCGCCCAGAGGGCTGGTGGGATGGTGATACGCATTGAGTTGGGACAAAGTGGCGCAACATTGTTCACAACAATGTTTTCTCACGCATCTGACACACAGCTTGGAACGCACGCGGGAACTCATTGAAACATCGCTGGTTCCCAAACCATGTGCAATAATGATGGGAACCCAGCGTGGGTGATACCACAGATGCCAGACCAGACGCTATGACGATACCGATACCTGCCTTCGACTGGCCAAGAGCTCGTTCAAGGCACCCTTGCCGTTGTGACTCAAGAGCCTCCGAAGGACCAACGCCTTTCGGCTCCGTTCCCGTCTGCCGCAGCAGCAGCCTCAACAGAGGAGCAGTGCGATGATGACGCCTGTTTGCAGGATGATCGGCGAGGCCTTTGCAGCATCCCCGAAGCCGCCACCCCACCCCCCGAATAAAAAGTCCCCCCCGCGGCCGCCCCCGAAACCGCCGCACCACCCCCCCAACCCCCGAGCCACCCTCCCCGACCTTGACCCCCCCTTCCTTAGGGAACCCGGAGAGCCGCCCCCCCCCCACCCCCTGGAGCAAGGAAAGGCAAAAACCCATCCCCCCCCCTCCCCTATTCGCGACGACGACGACGAAAACGACGACGACGACGACAACGACGACGACGACGACGACGACGACGACGACGACGACGACGACGACGACGACGACGACGACGACGACGGCGCCGACGACGACGACGAAGACGACGACGACGACGACGATTGACGACGGACGACGGACGACGGACGATGGACGGCGGAGGACGGACGACGGAGCACGAACGACAGACGACGACGATGACGATGACGACGACGACGACGACGACGATCACGACGATGATGACGACGACGACGGAAGAGGGCAGATGGGCGACGGACGACGACGATGGCGACGACGGACGGCGGACGACGAACAATGACGACGAAGACGACGACGATGATAACGACGATGACGCCGACGGCAACGGACGGGGACGACGACGAACACAGCGACGAAGACGACCACGACGATGACGACGACACACGACGACAGACGACAGACGACGACAGACGACTACCATTACCACCACCACCGCCACCACCACCACGGACCGACGGACGGACGGACGGACGAACGGACGGATAAAAGGACGACGGTGACGATGAGGAGGATGCGGAGGACGACGACGACGACGACGACGACGGCGAGGACGACTACGAGGACGACGGCAATGATGACGACGACGTCGGCGACAAACGATGACTACGACGACTGCGACGACGACGACGACGACGACGACCACGCCACGCCGACGACGATGACCACAATGCTGGCGACGACAGCAACAACGGCAAGTACGGGGACGACAGGCAGCGACGATGACGACTCCGGGCGGACCCTCACGGGCGGGCCGGGTCGGGCGGGCGGGTTTTAACGGGCGGGTCGGGTCGGGCGTGCGGGATGTAAAGTACAGTGCCGTTTTTAATACATGCTCCGCGTGCGGATCATGTATTAAAAATGCAGGGATTTCGTAATAAAAACAACGATGAGTTCATGCATACATTTATTCACACATTGATCATGTATTAAAAATTTTATATTATTAAAAATCCCATGTATTAAAAATTGCCCTGTATGATGCGTAATCAAGTTAGCGCGTGAGAGCCTGAGCATGCGGGTCGGGTCGGGCGGGCGGACACCAACGGACGGATCGGGCCAGGCGGGCTGGACACGAAAGTGTGATGCACAGTCGGGCTGGCAAGTAAGAGCCCTAACGGACGGGTCGGGTCGGGCAGGGCGGGACGCTAAAGTCGTCGTCCTAGCCGTTTGCGTCGTCGGTCGTACCAGTCCTCGTCGTCGTCGTCCGTCGTGTTCGTCGTCCGTCGTCCGTCGTCAACGTCGTCGTCGGCGGCATTCGTCATCCGTCGTCCGTCGTTCGTCGTCGTCGTCGTCGTCGTCGTCTGTCGTCGTCCTCGTCCTCGTCCGTCGTGGTCCTCGTCGTCTTCCTCGTCGGTCGTCCGTCGCCGTCGTTGTCGTCGTCCCTCGTCGGCTGTCGTCAGTTGTCCCTCGTCCGTCGCCCGTCGTCCGTCATGGTCGTCGTCTTCGTCGGCGGCGTTCGTCATCCGTCGTCCGTCGTTCGTCGTCGTCGTCGTTCTCCGTCCTCGTCGTCGTCGTCCTCGTCGTCGTCGTCCGTTTTCGTTGATAGTCGTCCGTCGTCCGCAGTTTGTTGTCGTCGTCGTTTGTCATCGGCGTTATTCGTTCGTCGTCCGTCGTGCGTCTTCCGTCGTCAAGTGTTCTTGTCGTCGTGCATCGTCCGTCGTCGGTCTTCCGTCGTGCGTCTTCCGTGGTCAATTGTCCTCGTCGTCGTCCTCGATGTCGTTGTCCTCCGTGTTGTCGTTGTCGTCGTTTTCCCGCGCCGGTAGTCGCCATCGTCGGTTGCCAGCAGCGAGTTGGGGGGGAAGGGAGGGGTTGTGGGCACAGAGGGGTCCGAATCCCCTATCCTTGGAAAAGGGGGCGTGGTCCAACCTTACACCGTTTTGATGCAGGGGTTTTTGACCCCCCCCCCTCCCCCTGCGCGGAGATGGGAGGTTTGCACACCACCCACCCACCCGGTGGTGCACAGAAGGCGGTTTTTCATTCGCTTGTCCGTTTTTGCTCCTTCCAGAGGAGACGCGTGGTGTCCTCAAGCAGTTCCTGGAGAACGTGCTGCGCGATTCGATCACCTACACGGAGCACGCTCGCAGGAAGACGGCGACGAGTGTTTTTGTTTCAGAGACACGCATTCCGTCCCCTCATTTGTCCTCCCCTTCCCTTTCTCTCTCTCTCTCCCGCTTGAGCTCTCCCTCGGCGGCGAAATCCGAACCCTACCCTCGCCGATCAACGATTCAGGCATCTCGTTGGGCGGCGGGGGTGGGATCTGGAATTCGTCGAACACGTGGCCACCGATCGCCCACCCTTGCCATCTCCCCTCCCGCTCCCTGCCCCACCTCCTCGCTCCTCCACCAGCCCCACTTCCCGCGGCACACAGCCCAGACGCTGAAGCAGGGACCCTTCTGGGATCGTGGGAGGGGGCCGTGGTCTTCGGGCCGCTCCTCAAACCTGGGTCGGGGAGCCTCCTCGTGGCCGAGGCTCGCCGTGGCCGCGACAGCCCCTCTCGCCCTTTCTTCCCAGTATGTTTCTACCTCTCTCTCTTATGATATGTGTGTTCCTTCTCTTCTCGAGGAAGAAAAAAAACAGCATAAACACACACTTGTGGCGCTTCGCGCGGATCTCTTAGATCCGCGTTGGGCCCCCCTGGCGGCGCCGCTGGTGCCGCCCCTGGCGCGCCCCGCGCGCCAGGGAGGGGTGTCCAGCGCAGATCCAAGACATCCGCGCGGAGCGCCAAAAGTCTATGATCATGCTTCTGATTGTTACCATAATTAGTAGTATTAGTAGTAGTAGTAGTAGTAGTAGTAGTAGTAGTAGTAGTAGTAGTAGTAGTAGTAGTCGTAGTAGTAGTAGTAGTCGTAGTAGTAGTAGTAGTAGTAGTAGTAGTAGTAGTAGTAGTAGTAGTAGTAGTAGTAGTAGTAGTAGTAGTAGTAGTAGTAGTAGTAGTTAGTAGTAGTAGTAGTAGTATTAGTAGTAGTAGTAGTATCACTACTACTACTACTACTACTACTACTACTACTACTACTTACTACTGCTACTATCACTACTATAGTATATACTACTACTACTTACTACTACTACTACTACTACTTACTAGTAGTAGTAGTAGTAGTAGTAGTAGTAGTAGCAGTAGCTGTAGCTGTAGCTAGCAGTAGCAGGAGCAGTAGCAGTAGCAGGGCGTAGTAGTAGTAGTAGTAGTAGTAGTCGTAGTAGTAGTAGTAGTCGTCGTAGTAGTCGTAGTAGTCGTAGTAGTCGTAGTAGTCGTAGTAGTAGTAGTAGCCGTAGTAGTAGTAGTAGTAGTAGTAGTAGTAGTAGTAGCAGTAGTAGTAGTAGTAGTAGCAGTAGCAGTAGCAGTAGCAGTAGCAGTAGCAGTAGCAGTAGCAGTAGCAGTAGCAGTAGCAGTAGCAGTAGCAGTAGTAGCAGTAGCAGTAGTAGTAGTTGTTGTTGTAGTAGTAGTGGTAGTAGTAGTAGTAGCAGCAGTAGCAGTAGTAGTAGTAGTAATAGTGTTATTGGTGTTATTATTGCTAGTCTTGTGTTGTTATCATCATGATTATCATTATTACTAGTTTTATTATTAGTAATATTGTTATTATCATTGATTTGTCTTCTTAATTTGGTCATTCTCTTCTTCAGCATTCCTTCTGGTAGCACCATGGTTTTGCCCTCCCCCCGGGCTGTGCCGCCCGCCCTCTGCCCGGAAGCCGTGCGGTGGGCCCCCCGCGCAGCAGTCCTGAAGTCGGGCGCGTCCCTCTACAGGAGGAATATTCGAAAATAGTCAAAACATTGCGTGGGGACGAATGAGATCGATTGTGAGATCGATCGAGTGAGATCGATCGAGCGAGACCGATAGTGAGATCGATAGTGAGACCGATCGAGTGAGACGTTGGTTCCTCCCCCCCCGAACCTCCTTATCACCCGAAGGGTGGTCGTATAGGTATTCAAAAATAGTCAAAACATTGCGCGGGGACGATGTTTTGAGCATTTTCTGGATATTTGTTGAATATGTTTCGAGTCTATTTTGATCTTTCGTCCAAAATCCCCCTGGAGGGGGGCGTGCCCGACCGAAAGCAATCCCCAGGTGAGCCCACTGGATGTCGTGTACGCCCTGAAGCGCCAGGGCCGCACCATCTACGGCTTCGGCGTCTGAGCCGGCTGCGCCCCAAAAAGGGGCAGGTCAGGGGAGAGAAAGGTGCCCATACAGCTGCCCTGGCCTCGTTTTCCTTTTCGGGGGCCGCCGGGGAGGCCCTCGTCGCCCCCGCTGGACTCGCCTCAGAATGATGGTCCGGGGAGCAGCGGCATCGGTACCTCTTGGACTCCCCATCAGAAGCCTAGAGCTTGGCACCAACACCAATATTGGTGCTCACCTCCACCGAGAGAAGGTGGTCGCGATCTCGAAAATGGTGGTACTACTTGGGCTCCCCAGGCGGCCGAGATTTCACCACGAACGCCAAACTCTAGGATCATCTCCCCCATGTGGCGGCAAACTCCTGTGTTGGTGGTGGTGCCCATTTCCAAGCCTCCAAGAGACGCCCTCCCTTACGGCAGAGATGCAGTCGCGGCCCGGTCGAGGGACGAGGTGATCCACCACCCTGCAGGGGTGCCCTTGAATCCAGGCGTGTTTGGCACATCCTGGGCAGACGCCGCCGGCCAGCCCTTCGATGTATCTTTCCGGCTCGGACGGCCAATGTCCTTTCACCCCCCGGGGCCCCGCTTCTTTACGGCCAGCCCCGATTGCATCTCAAAAGACACGAGATGTCAAGGATTTCCCGCTGCCGACCGCCCCCCCCCCGGGGATCGGGGTTGCATGGCTGCTCGGGTCGGGCTCCGTTGGATGACTGCTTCTTGATCGCTCGGGTCGGAGTTGGACGGCTAGGCCGCTTGGGTCGGTGGCTTGATTCGCTGGCAGGCAACATGGCCGGTTGTCTCACTGCCTGGAAGGTTGGCTGGCTAGATGGTTGGCCGAAGGGCCCCCCCCGGCCAGACTGGGCTCCCACAGGATGAGTTTGGGAAGGGGGGTCCACGTCGCAAGCCGAGGAAACCTCAGGGGCCAGTGAATTGTCCAGTGGTCGTCCCACGGTTGCCCCGACGCTGTTCCGCGGCTGTGTTGCGGTTGTCCTTCGGGGTGTCCCGTGGTTGTTCTGCGGTTGTCTTTTGATTGTCCCATGGGATGTCGCGTGTTTTTTTCCATGATTGTTCCCTGCTTCTCCCGTAATTGTTTCGCGGTTGTATCATGGTTGTCCTCCCTTGTGAACAAATCTCTCGTAATACCAACCAAATGATAGTGAGTTATACCGTTGTATTGTCAGGGGTATCGATCGATATGCCATCATATTGATATATAGCCTGATCGATCGATACATTGATATTGATGTCGGTAATTACCGGGCAGTTCGTGAGATCGGTAGGTAGTGAGACAGATCGACAGACAGTGAGATCGACAGATAGCTAGATCGCTAGATAGGTATATGGTGAATTTGATCCAGCGCCAATCGCAAGCCGAAATCCTGCACATATCCACCCTCAACCTACTACGTATCATCCGAAGGGTGGTCCAAGTTGTAGTGGAAGGTTGCAAATTGCGTCGCTACACTGGTGAAAGTTGAACGGCTCAATTGCTGAAGTCTCATCCTCGCAGCCGAATGACCCCCGCAAGGGGGGCCTGCGGACTTCACATTGCCTGCGGTGTTGTCTTCACCCGAGGAGCGTACTGCGCGCGGCTCGGCTGGGTACAGGCCGCTGGCAGCGAAGAGCTTTGGGGTTAGCGCTCGTTTTCTGCCGTGGGGCCTAATAGACCAGGCTTCAATCGCAGCCTACGTGTCCTGAGGCTGGCCAGGGCAATGCTGCTTCATGCGCATTTGGGGTTGCGCAGTGGAGCGGTGGGCACCAACGCCGCAGCCATGTTCTCGCGGCTCGGCCGTGGTTCACCTAGCGGCGCACGCGACCGTGTACGACTGAATCGCCCGTCGCTGGATCCAGCGTGCCAAATTTCATCAGCCCATTGGGAGCGTCCTTGATGTTTCGGAGGACGCAGTGAACTCCATTGTGCGACAGGTTGGTGCCGTGTCGACGCGGCGGCTACCCCCTCGCGGGCGTTCAGTGTCGAACGCGGCAAGTGGCCTCGAATCGGCCAATGTGGAACGATCCGGCGATCGAAAAGCCGCCGACCGCGCAGGGTTGAACGATCCACGCCGTGTCAGAGAGAGTTACTTCGGCTTCCAGACCCTGGATGCCTTATCCAACGGTTCCCTACCCAATGCCCTCAGCGCATGTGGGCCTGGAGACGGGTCGCCTTGGGCATATCGGGAGCTCGCGCGTGTTTTCTGAGGGTCTCGGGGGCAGTCTTGATGTTCTTCCAAACGCGCGCTGCGCGGAGAGGCCCATCGCCCTCGGTCCGCGCATGAGTTCCTGCTTGCGCGGGCCTGGGGCACATGGGGGGCGCGAAGGTGAAAGGAGGCATTGGATATGCTCGTTCGGCGGTCCCTCCTCTAAACCACCTCCCTAACGGAACTGCTCGCCTCTTGCTCGACTGTAACTCGGCTCTGGGTCGATTCAGGATCGATTCACGTTCGATTCAAGTCGACGGACGTTCGACGTAGCATCGACTCACAAGTAGAGCGAGTGGTTTCAGGAAAGTCCCCAGAGCGAGCATCTGACATTGGGGTGTGACTCGAGGGTTGCAGTCCTGCACGTGGGGGCAGCACCTTCGTGGTTTTCGAAGCTTGGTCGGCTCGGTGATCTGTTTTCGGGTTTGTCCCAGCAGATGCGCATCACTGAGGTCTTGGAGGGCGCCTCTATCGTTTGAGCTGGCCTTCGTATATTCAGCTCACATCCCTGGCATCGCAGCAGCCGTGCGAGTATCACAAGCAGCAGCAGCCGCATATGTGGCACTGCAACAGCCGCTTAGGGCGCTCCAAGCCCGTAGAAGCGTCGACTCCCGATGGGGGCGCGTGAGGGGAAGCGTGCTCGCGCAGGTCGCGGGCCAACATAGCAAGGAAGGCCGTGCGCTCGTATGCGGGAGCGGACCAGGAGCCAGAGCGCAGCATAAGGAAAGAAGAGGAGGAGGAAGAAGATCAGTTGCAGCAGATGCATCAGCAGAAGCAGAATGAACAGGAATTGCAGGCGACAGGTGAGACGGAGACGGAGGAGGAGGAGGAGGAGAGGGAAAGGGAATGGAAAGCGGATATGGAGCAGGAGGGACTGAAGGCTCGGGGAATAGGGATTGGGGGGAGGGCGGTCAAGCAAGAGAGAGTGCGGAGGCGTGAAATCGGAGCCGGCTCTCGTCGTAAATGAATCACGACGGGCGGTCTCTGACAGTTCGGCCTCTGATGTCCTCGACAGGCCACTGGACCGTCAGAAAACGACTCGGAACGGAAAGCCGGCCCCGGGGAAGTTGTGCAGACCCTCAGGGATGCCCACGTTTTGAGCAAAAACGAGACGTCGCAGGTGTGGCTTCTCCGTGAAGTGACCAATCTTCAGCTCAAGCGGATAACCCCGTCCCTTCCACGTTTCTTCTTGCCTCACTCCCTCCTGCAGCGGACAAACTGTAAGGTGAGGTCCGCCACGCTTTTCACATTCTCGGGAGATCGGGACGCTCGATCGACTATTTGCCATGCCTTCTGTTTTGGTCTGCCCAGCCGAGGAGCTGAGCATGGCATATGTCGTCGTGTTCGCTCTGAAGACGGTCCCCGCGAGAGAGCCTTTTGCCTAACTCTATTCTTGAGATCGTGCCCACGTGGAGAGAGCTGCACAAGTCACAACGTTGCAACATGCCTCCCTCAACAATTCGGATCATGCCGGCCCTATTTTACACGAGACGTATGCCATATTCCCACGATGGTTCCGATGTGTCTTTATGTTTGGTTCAGGCTTTGCATGTTTGAGTGGAGATGGCGGAAAACCGATGCAATTGATCGAATCACATGCTTACCGTTCTCTCAGTACGCCCGCATCCCTTGGTTTCCAAGATTGCTCTCGGAGTTCAGGCATCCTACTCATCATAGGTTGGCACTTGCATAATTTCACGACGACTTCTAGATGCCATGGAACATCTGGATCTGGCTTTCGTTTTCCAGATGCGTTCGGCGGATGCGTCGGGGCTTCGGTCGATATGTGGAAGCTGTTCGGATGAAGCGAAACATTGAGGACACTGTCGGGGATGGTTGCTGAGTGTCACGCCATCAGCTTGCACGGGGTCGAGTCTCGCCAGAACCGCCGCCGCGACACGCTAAGCAGAAGTTCCCGATCGTAGAATGATCTATCACGCCGTCCCCCGATCTCCCGACGATTGGGGTACTCACTTGTCGTTTAGAGTCCGCAGTCGCTCCCGCCAAATGAGTGGCGGACGCCCAGGCTGTGCTGACGACGCGCAGAATATGTCATCCCAATATGGGGGAGATGGCAATGAGGGCTCCACCAGCCACATAGCCAGGCTGCCCACGACGGATAGAATGGCCAGACTTGCAGGCGCAATAGCTGAACTTCTTTCTGCGACGGAGATGTGTCAGTTGTTCAGCCTCTGCGCTGTGGACTACCAGGAGGGGAAAAAACACACAGACGCGATGAATCGTCGATTCCCAGGAAAATATGGAAAAAATATCGGAAAGGGGGGGGAAGACACAAACCCAGAGAATACAGGAACATATGGGGAATCCTGTTATTTGTGTGCATTTATGTGTGCGTCCTGGGGCCCCGTCAGACTGAGCGCAGTGGTCCATGGTACGATGCCGTGCTGTTGCGCTCCTTGGTCAGGCATCGCGTGGCGCTCTGGCCTCGGCCAGGGTAGCACCACGGGAGCCGGGCAGTTGAGACCGGCTGCTCCGCAATTCGGGTACAGTGGGGGCGCGCACCAAGAAGCCATACAGCCAAAAGCCCCAACAAGGACGCGCGATTTTGCTCAGGGTGCCCTTGCGTCCTTGCTCTTCCTTGCTCTTGCGTCCTTGGGGTTTGCGTCGTCCGCCGCCCCCAAAAGTCCCAACCTCGGCTTCCAAGGGTCTTGCGTCCTTACCGCGCGTCCTTATTAGGGTTTTTGACTGTATGTTTTTCGTCAGGGTATCTTGAGTTTCTTCGTTCCTCTCGCTGCGCGGTGATTTCCCGCAGACGTTGAAGGAGCTGTTGCGTTCAGGGTGCTCCAGGTTTCCCCTCAGGTGTACCTCGCGCACGGGTTCTCAAGGTTGGGTTTCTTGCGAGGGTTTCTGGCGGCCGCGCCCGCACTGTATTCCACAATGGGGGGGGGAGGAGGGCTTTTCGTCTGGCGGCGTTTCGGCGCTTGCCATCGGCCCACTGCATACTCGCCATGCGCGCCGATGCACGCAGCGAAGTGGGGCTGAAGGTCGGCTGCTGCTTCTGGTCGCGGGCCGATCTGCCTGTCATAGGCTTCAGCTCGCTGAGGGGCAGCGAACGCGATCTGTGTTTCTGGGGCGACGGAGGAGGAGGCAATGCTCGTAGGGTAAGAGCAAACCTAAGCAGCCCAGTCTTTGGTAAGAGTAAACCTAAGGTCCGAACTTGTCGCGAATGGGTGTCGTAAGAATTATTATTGGCGGATCAAACGCGCTGGCTGAGCGTATTGGGATCCGGCCCTGGAAACAACGCTGCCCCCCAAGCGACCTCCAAGTCATAGGGGCGATGCAGCAGGAAGCAGAGGGAGCGGGCACACGTCTCGCGATGCTCCTCGATGGGCAGACAAGCCGCGCACGCAGACGGTGCGACGAGTGCTGTGGTCTTCGCCGTCGGGCCGCGGCTGGCGACATGTGCGTGTCGAGAGGCAGGTCCTGCAGGCAGTTCCGGGGAGAGCGCAGAGCCTTGGCATCGCTCGGACGTGTGCCTTTTTCCTTCGGCGAGGGCCATCGAGGAGCATCCTTGATCATTTGGCGACAAAGCCGCGCACGAAACCAAAAAAACACAGGGAATGGACGTCCGAGCGATGGCGAGGAGCGCTGTTCCTCGCCCTGGCGACGCAGCATGGCACGCAGGCGCGTGCTCGTGATGTCCATTGCTTGCGGGGGCAGGAAGTCTGTTCAAGCCAACGGCCTTGTCTCAAGCTGCAGTGGTCTTCTGGGGCAGAAGCAGGGTGGCCTGAAGTGGATGGCCTCAGGCCCACTCGCCCCTGAGAGGCTCATCTTTCCTGCTCCCGGCCGCAACGTTACAGTCAACGCGCCTAGTAAGGACGCGTGCCTTCATCCAGGGTGCCCTTGTGTCCTTGCCTCTGAGGCTCGTCCTTGCCATTATCACTGGTCGCCCGTTGCCCTAAAAAACCCAGCTTCGGCCTCCAAGGGTCTCGCGTCCTTATCACCCTTCCTTAATATATGTTTTGACTGTATTAAGCAGAGTCACGAGCTCTGCCCCGCTGTGGAACACCACGCTGCCCGCGGCAAGAATCGCCACCGAGCCAGCACAGCCCTCCAGGTGGCGGCGCGTCGATCACAACATGTGTCACCTCTTGCCTCTGTTGTTGAAAGGGCTCTCGGGGGGGCAAGCTGGGCCGTCGTGGAGCTCCGGTCGCATGTGGTGCCTTCTTGGGGCTCTCGCGTCGCCGCCTCGGTGTCGCCCTGGGCCAGCTCAGGCGCCTTTCGGCCGTCTGGGCAGTCTCGCGAGGTTGTCTTGGGGGCGTCATGGGGCCCTCTTGGTCCATGATTGGCCCCGGGTGGGGGGGGGGCTTTGGGGCTCTTATTTGGCGCTCTTGGCATCTCTTCGGCTCTTCTGGTAACCGTTTGGAGCCATGTGGGGCCGACGGGCCCACAGCATCCAACTCATTGAGTCAACAACCGACTTCTCTAGGCGTTTGAATGGTTTGGGCCTTCCTGGGGTGGTGGGTGGGCTCTTCTTGGCCTTCGTTTCGGTGTCTTGGACGCCGCTCAGGGGCCCACGCTGCGCTCCTTGCGGTAATCTTGTGCGCAACTGGCAAAGTCTCGAGGCATTGCTGGGCCTCTTGGCGAGCTCGGTGTCCTCCCAGCTCTGCAGCTCTGGAGAGCCTCGGAGAGCCCCGGGGAGGCGTGTTCCCGCGCCAACAAAAATCAATTGACGTCCTGGGGTCTCAGGGTTGGGTTTCCTGTGGAAGGTTTCTTGTGGTAGAGTTCCTACTGTAGCTCTAGGGCTCCTGGGTGGGGCCAAGTAGATGGGGTCGGAGGATCGCGCCGCATCGCCGAAGCATCGACGATGCAGCTCGATGCGAAGCACGATGTTCTCGATCAGGATTGCTCTTCAGCGCAATATGCCACTGAGCTGAAGAGCAATCCGTCATGGAGGGCGAGGCGGTGGCGACCCAGGGCTGCCGTCCACCGGCCAAGTCCTCCGTCGTTCGAGGATCGACGCTCGAGGGGCGAGGAGCAGTCGAGGATCGAGGATTCGACGGCGCGGATGCGCTGCCGCAGCGGAGAGGTCCTGGCGGCGTGCATGCTCGGCGTGGTCGTCGCCGCCGCCTCGCAGCTGCTGATCTACACCACGGCCGAGAGCAAGTACCACACCGACGCCATGATCCAGGCGCCCGCGGGTCGCAGGGACCCCCCTCTGGCAGAGCGCAGGCCCCAGAGGAGGGCGAGTCGAGACGGCGGCAGTTCTGAGTCGGGCATGTCCCTCTACAGGAGGAATCTTCAAGATTTTTTTGAACACTTGCTGGCCATTCTTAATCTTTGACTTGTCGTCCAACATCCGCCTGTAGGGGGACATGCCCGACCTGACGGTAGTTGGCCTTCGGGGGGGGGGGGGTGGAGGGGCCATCGCGGCCACGGCTGGACGCAGCTCGGACAACCAGCCTGTCTGCACCCCAGGAGGGATCCGGGGACCGATTCTGAGCTGCCGCTGCCCGACCTCGCCCCCGAGGGGCCGCGCCTGGGGAGGCTCCCGCACCCTCGCGGGCGTGCCCTGGCTTCGCGCTCTCGCGGGCGTGCCCTGCGAGTGGCCAGCCGAGGGTGCCCCGGTTGGAGTCCACCGCCTTTTGTTGCGAGGCAGCTGTGTAGGAGGGGGTGCAGAGGGCACGGTGTTTTTACACAGTTTGGCGAACTCCGTGAATTCAGTAGGGGTCGGGGTTGACATGCCTCGAAGAACTCGCGCCCACCCGAACCGCAATCATTTAGTGTATTTGCGGACCGCCGACATTTTGCTTTCCGTCGTCGTCCTCCTCCTTCCTTCCTCTATCCCCTGGATGGGGTCGAAGGCGGCTGCGGCTCCGGCGGAGGAGCGCCCCTTTCCTCCTCCCCCTCATTCCCCGCTACTCCTCTTTGCATCCTTGCTCCACCATCCGTCGCCCCACCTCGTCCTCCATCCTTGCTCCAAGAAGGCAAGTGATGGGGCCGCGTGCACGCGTTCGCACTGCTCTGCCCGTTCGACACCCGGGCACAGCGAACCAGCCAAGTAGAGGGCGTGGCCAATGCATACGTCCGGGGCGCAATCCATGCGCGGGTGGCGCCGGCCGCCAAACATTGTCGTAGCGCTAATATGTAAAGTGTTGGGGGCCTGCGGCAAGGTCCGCCACCGTGCCAGCGCAGCGGTCCAAACGGCGACTGTTCGGGCTATGTCTGCTCAGACGTCCAGGACATGCGACATCTGTCATGTTGTCGGGCTGGTGTCGGGCCTTCTCGGGGGGTCCCTCGGGGTCCCCTTGGGGCGTCTTTGGGGCCCTTGGGGGCAGCCGTGGCGCCGCGTTCCACGGTGGCCGCCCTGGGCCCGGGATGCGGGCATTTGCAGGCCCAGGGGGCCGCCGCCCTGGGCGAGGGATGTGTGTATTCGCATTCCCGCCCAGCTCGGGACGTCGACTTCGGTTTTGGTTCGCCAAAGTAGGGGTATCTCCGAGGTGGCGAGCGTTTACCTGTTCCGAAATGTTCAAATCAAGGTATGGGCTGTGTACACAAGTCGTGTTATCAACTATATAAGTGCGCGTGTAGTCCACAGTTTACACAGTTCGTGGTGTGATCTGTGTACACACATCGTGCCCCCATCTGTGTATTTGGAGTGTGTTCTTTGCGGGTGGTGGTGACTGGGCGGGAAGTTTCGCGTTTCTTTTGGCTTGCCAATTGGGGGGCGTTGCACGGTGGCGAAATACACAGTTCGTGTGTCCAACTGTGCACGTGATGCGCGCTACCGGCTGGAGCGGCACCTGTGCGGGAGTCCCCGCCGATATCATTGTTGGTCACGGAGTGGCCGTGGTTTGGGAGGACACAGGCGAGGACGCTTGGGGATGATGCGCCATCGGGAGGAAAAAAGTGCGAGAGAAGGGGTGGCGACGGGGTTGGGGGATGAAAAGGGGAGGACGGGAGGAGGGAAAATGGGCCCAGGAGGAACTGCAGCATCGGTGCCAGCATGACGAACTGCGCATGGCCGTACGGGACGGGGGGATGGCGAGGGCGCAAATGAGAGGGGGCGTGTTGGGCGGCGAAGGGCGAGGAGGTATGCAGCGCAATGGCAGAAGGGGACGGGAGAATGACGAGGAGGAGGAGGAGGAGGAGGAGGGGCATGATGAGTAGGGGGGAATCGGATGGGCACGACGAGGATGAGGCGAAGGAAGGGGCATGGGGAGGAGGGGGGGATTGGCGCATGAGAGCGGTGCGGGCGCGAGCTAGCGCTCATCTGGGCGGTGTTTTGCGTGCCGGTGCAACACCGCAAGACAGAAGTGACGGCTGCAGACCAAAGTTATCAGGGTCGTCGTGCGCGGCGTGCGTCCGGGCTAAATGCTCGAGTCCACGACGCTCCTCTGCGTCGTGTCGATGCCGCCCGTCTTCGCCAGACCGCGCATGCACAGATAGGCTGAATTTGCGTTACATCCTAGCAACAGACCAACGTTGGAATCCAATGCCCCAGCTTGCCCCATGGGGCTGCGCTGCCGTAAGATCGAAAAACACCAGCGCCATGATCCAGGCGCTCGCGGGCCGCGAGGACCCCCCCTCTCCTAAAGCGCAGGGCCGCCTTCCAGGGAGGCCCCAGCCCGCGCCGCCGCCTCTCGGGAGCCGCGCGCCCGCAGGAGGCGTGCGTGAGCTCAGCGACTGCAGGGCTCTGGTTTGCATCACTGGAGGCAGGGTCCACCCGATCCCATCGATTTGGTTCCCAGACCCCCTCGCGTTGTGAACAAACACGCGAGGGGAGGTGTTTCGCCATTTTCGGCCTCCGGGGGCCTCTGCCGGGCTCTGGGGCCATCCAAGAACGACTCAGGATGAAAAGCCGGTTTCCCGGGGAAGGGGTCCAGATCTCCGGGGGTCGACGTTACATAAAAATACGAGTTCGGGTGTTCGTGGACGCAAGATCCATCTCGATCCGATCGGTCCGATTCGGTGGTAGTTTTCAGTGGTGGGGGTCCTGGGCATCCCGCCTGGCGCGTTCTCTCGGGGCCAGCGTTGTTGAGCAGCTCGTGATGTTGAGCAATACGTGGCGATTTGTTGTGGTCAGCAGAGCTTGCTGTGGTTTGCCATCGGCGCCAAGGATGCGAATGAATGAGTGAATATGTTGGATCGGGGAGCTCGCCAGACAGCGCTTTGTTTGGGCCGTGGGGAATCCTGCAGCCTTCCAGTACCCAACTTTCGTGGTCCACCCTCAGGCGCCGAGCGTTGTATTACGCATGCGTTTGGCTTGACAGCGCTCGCACGTTGGAGGCCAACGAACGTCCAGGCCTCCCAAATGAATCAGCCGACGAATCGGCGATGTGGCTCGATGTGAAGCCCAATTTTCTCCACGCCGACGGCGCCGATGCATCGCCGATTTCCGTTGCGCATTGGCGATTCATCGGCGGTGTGGCACGATCTTCCGGCCCCATCTACTCGGACCCAAAACTCAGAATGCGTCATTGTTTCACATCGTGAATCCCCCGAAATATGGGCCTTTTCCCCAAGAATGGCTGTTCATGACGGGTCGTTTTTGCAAAGTCCCAGAGCCTTGCGAGGGTTCCCAGAGGCAGGACACTGCCCAAAACCACGCATCGTGTTTTTTTGGTTCGCAGCGAGAGGACGGACGGACGGACGGAATTCCAGAGAACCTCTTGTCTTGCTTGCTGCACGTTGCTGCAACAAGCTCGGGGGAAAAAACGCAGAGGGCCCACAAAAGCACGAGGCGAGGGGGCTCGTCGGGGCATCGCCGAAAGCCACCGCCTCGCCCCGAGGACCGCCGAGGGAGAACGCATGACCCAGGGCGGGACCCAACCGGGAGGACGGGGAAGGGCGGCACGAGAGGGGCCCACCGAGGAAGGCCCAGCGGGCTTCCGAAGGGGGGGGAGAGGAGATCTACTCCTCGCTCGGATTCGTCCCTCGCGAGGCTGATTCGATATGCGCACTTCTGCAAAAAGGCTCCAACACGTAGGGGGCATGCTGCGATGCTTCAAATACCCACTAGCACTGACGGAATATCGGGAGCCTCAAACAGCGCCTGCCCCTCCGCTCGGAGGTCGTCGGAGATGTGGTTCTCGGGGGCGGGGGCCTCAGGATTGTCGGCGCAGCCGTCGGAGCAGAGAGGGGTCTCGCAGCAGCAGGCGCGGAGGAAGGTGTGGAGGGCTTCGGAGCAGTAGGCGAGGAGAACGCGTAGATCGAAGAAAACAAAAACGCAATGAACGTAAACTTTTGGCGTTTCGCGCGGATGTCTTGGATCGGCGCTGGGCCCCCAGGCGGCGCCTCCGTCGCCGCCCCTGGCGAGCTCCGCGCGCAAGGCAGGGGGGTCCAGCGCAGGTCCAAGAGATCCGCGCGGAGCGCCAAAAGTTTCTGTTTATGCAATTGCTTATTCTTATTATTATTCTTCTTATTATTATTCTTATTATTATTATTATTATTCTTCTTCTTCTTCTTCTTCTTCTTCTTCTTCGACTAGAGGTCCTCGGAGCAGCAGAGGGTCTCGCAGTAGTCGAGCGGGCTCGCAGCGAGAAGAGGCGGGGGGGGAAGACGGGGGCGAGGACGGAGCCAACAGTGGCAGGTCACCGTGACGATCGCCGTGGCATTCTTGTGCTTCTGGTATGCGGAGCACGAGCTGCAAGCCAGCGGTGCGCGCGCCCGCGCGCGCAGCTGGGGGGGGCTGAGGCTGCAATGGCGGGAGGCGCGGGCTGCGGGTCGGGGGCATCTGTGCGCACATGTGCGTACAGCAGGTGCATACGACGAAGAGCCTCGCTCTGATGATTCTCTGTGTGCGCACTCGGCGGCGGTATCTGCCCTCCCTGGCGTGCTCCAAGTGTTTCTGCGAGTCACAGGGGCCATCGGAGTACAGGACATGTCCGCGGGGCGCCTGCAGGCGAAGGCGTTTTCTTTCGGGGGGGAGGTGCTTCTCATAATCGAAATGGCTTGGGAAGAGGAGAAGGAGGAGGAGGAGGAGGAGGAGGAGGAGGGGGAAGGGGGAGGGGGAGGAGGAGGAGGAGGAGGAGGAGGAGGAGGAGGAGGAGGAGGAGGAGGAGAGGAGGAGGAGGAGGAACACATCACTTCAGCCTTCAGCAGTTTGCGGTCGGGAGCTCTTGTTCAGCATATCGCTCCGCCAGCTCTGACCCACCACGCCTCGGCGCGACGTGCCGTCCACGTCACGGCCCCCTCGGCGTCAGCAGCCCGAACTGCTCCCAGCCTCCCTCCCCGCCGGGCAGCGCGACGCGCTGCTCCCTGGCAGGGCACAGCATCTCGGGCGGGGCTCGGACGAGGATAGATCCGCCCCAGAGCCTTCCGCGACGCGCTCAGAGCGTGCCGGGACGCTCCGAGAAGGCCGCGGCGCCCGAGGCAGCCTCCAGAACCGCCAGATCTCCCCGAGGTTCTCGACTCGTCCTCGCCCGAACGTCTCCTCGTCCTGGCCCCGCCTCAGGGAGCGCGGGCTCGCGCCCCAGCAGCCAGGCCGCGAGGGTCCCGCCCCTCGGGCGACGAACGAGGTGCGCGTGGCGCCGACCGTGGCCGGGCCCAGCCTGGGCCAACGAGGCCCCACCTGGCCAAGCCACGAGCAGCGTGGAGCTTCTGGTGTCGCCCCGCCTGCCTGGGCGCCCTGCTGCTCTGCGTGCCAGGCCATCTTGGATCCTTGGACGATGACGAATTTACCCAGGAATTCCAAATTATGATTGGGCAGATTGAAGCTGGAAACATCTCTGAAATGCTCAAACAAAAATTACGCTCTTGCATCTTTTACGGTGTAAAAATCGGTAAGCTATCACGTCCTGGGGCCGGACGGCAGCCGCTCTCCGCGCGGCGCCGTGGCTGATGCGAGGGAGCGCGCGACGGGCAGAAGACGACGGAGAGTCCCTGCTGGTGGCCACGGCGCCCCCCAGACGGGCTGTGCCCCGACCCCGGATCTCGCCCTCGGGGCTGGCCGCCCTTGCCGCCTGCGCGGGCCCACCCTCTCTCGGGTGCCTTGCGGCGCCGCGTGCGAGTGGCCCTTCGCCGGAGTGACCTTTTGGTGCGGGCTCGCAGGGGTGGCCCCAGCACCGGCCCGCGCGCGTGGATCTGGGTCCTGCGCCGTCCCCTGACGCCGCGCACCAAAGGGCACTCTCTGGGCCTAGGATCACTCCTGCGTGTCGTCGTAGCTGGGGCTGCCGTTGGAGCGCCCCGAGAGTGCGGTTCCGCTTCCACTCCACGCAAGTCCAGAGCACGCTATCGTCGCTGGTGTTTCCGTGATAACTTGTTTGCGATGGTGGTGGGAGGATGAGGAGGAGGAATATGAGCAGGAGGAGGAGGAGGAAGGAACGTTGGCGGTGACGACATTAACGAGGACGAGGAGGATGAATGATGGCGACAGGAGTCAACCGTAAAGATCTTCGCGGATTGTTCGTTCTGGGAGTTTCTTGCGGGCTTCCTGAAGCCATCGTGGGGTTCGGTTGCGGCCATTTCAGGAGACTTTGGGGGTTCTCCTTGGGCAGTTTTGAGTGCCTTGAGGGCCGTCACGTGACATGTGGACACCTTGGAGCATGTCGCTCCTCGAAGGGGGAAGGGGAGGCCAAGTTGGCCTCGCCTCTCGGATCCCTCTTGGGGCGCCCTCTGGCGATCGCGGGCGCTTTGGGGGCCGTCTTGGGCCCTCGCTCGGCCCCTCTGGTCCCCTTTGGGGGGCTGTCTTCGGCGATGCTGCTGGGACCATCTCGAGGCTTCAGGAGGCCCGCCAGAGGCGAAAAACGGCGAGACGCCAGCCCACACGCAACAGGCCATCGCGGCTGGCGCCACACTGGCCCGCTCCGCGCGGAACCCTTCCACGTCTCAGCGCTTTCCCTTCCCCCTCCCCCCGCGCGGCCGCCCTCGTCTTGTTTCAGGAGAGAAGGAAACACACAGACACAATGGATCGTCGACTCCCAGGAAAGTATGGAAAAATATGGGAGGTGGGGGGGAAGACAAAAACCAAGAAAATATTGGAAATGCGTATTTATTTGTGTGTCCCTGGGCCCCTTCATTGTTCCCTCCCTTTTCCACGCCGGGCAGTTCGCCTTTCGGTTGCCCCGAACAGTCAGAGGCGACGACGGGGGCGAATAGCCCAGGGGAGAGCAATACATGTATTCCGGTGCGCCGATGATCTATGTCTTCGAAAAGGCTCCCGGGCGAATACGTGTAATGCCCGCCCCTGGGCTACTCGCTCTTATCGTCGCCGCCGAAATAGCCACACGCTGGAGCGGACTGCCCCGCCGCCGACGGAAAAAACAAGCCACCGGACTCGAATGGCTCCTCCCGCGTCGCGGCGCGCACGTCCGGACAGGCGCCCGTCCGCTCGTGCTCTCCCCATTGGAGCATCTCCACCCCACGAGCGTGTTTTTTTTTTGCCTGGGGCAGAATGGGCATCATAGCCCCCGGCCCCCCTCCCCCCCCCCTCTATAACCACCCCCCCCTGGCCCCTCCCCCCCCGTAATGCCCATTATCGCCGAAAATCAAGAAACGCGCTGCACGCAGTTCCTCTTCCTGGTCCTCTTCGTGATCCTCAAGAGGGCCTCGGGAGAGACGCTGGTGAACGCGCCTGGGTGTGGCGAGGGTGTGGGCCCTTCGGAGACTCACAGAAGCTCTACCCGACAGCGGTTGGCATTCTACCACGCCTCAGCGCGCCAGGGGGCACGGTGGTGGATAAAGAGAGCAGGAAGAAGGGTATGCGGCAATCCGCGCACACGTTCGCAATTCGACTTGTTTCGTGCGTGGCTTCTGTTACCGTCTTGGGGCAAGGCGAACTCAGTACCGAGCGCGATTCGTAGAAAACCAATGTTTTGGCCCGACCCATGCAGGTCAGTTCAGTGGCTTGGCCCGCACGGACCGTGTGCCCAAACCGGGTGCGTCGGATCGTTTTGGTGCCTGCAGAGAGAAGCCCTATTGTCATACTGGACGGGCCAGCCCCATATGGAGCCCCAAGCGGCTTGTTCCAAACCTTAAGATCGTGCACTGTGTGCGTGCAAGCTGCGTGGTGGAAGCTATGTGGTGCAATTGACTACCCTGCACCGCGCTTGACCACTCCACTGCTCGCGCAAACATCCCACCCACCCACCCGCAACTTGGTTCGCAAAATCTCTTAAGACCGTGACGGTGGGTACCAAATGGCACTTGCCGAAGGACAGCGACGACCGACGACGACACGACGACAACGACGACGACGACGACGACGACGACGACGACGACGACGACCGACGACCGACGACGACGACGACGCCGACGCGACGACGACGACGACGATGACAACGACGACGACGATGACGACGCCGACGACGACGACAACGACGACGCCGACGACGACGACGAAGACGACGTCAACGACGCGACGACGACGACCGACGACGACGACGACGACGGCGGCGACGACGACGACGCCGACACACGACGACGAAGACGACGACGACGCCGACGCCGACGACGACGAAGACGACGACGACGTCGCCAACGAAGACGACGACGAGGGAGGAGGACGGACGGCGACGGCGACAACGACGACAACGACGAGGGAGGAGGGAGGACGGCGACGACGCGAACGACGAAGAAGGAGGAAGGACGGCGACGCCGACGACGGCAACGACGAGGGTGGAGGGAAGACGACGACGACGACAACGACGACGACGACGACGACGACGACGGCGACGAAATAGGAGGGACGACGACGAGACGCCGACGACGGACGACGACGACGACGAGGGAGGAGGAGGAAGGACGACCACGGCGACAACGACGACGGAAACGACCACGACGCCAAAGAGGACGACGACGACGAACACGAGGAAAGACAGAGGACGACGTAGGCGACGACGACGACGACGACGACGACGACAACGACGCGGGAGGAGGGAGGACGGCGACGACGACGACGACGACGACGACGACGCAAGAGCGCGCGCGCACGCTTTTGTTGAAAATCTCTGTTACGAAACCTTTGGTTTTTGTAGTTTTTTTGGACGCGCGATTTCGAAATCCTTCCGAAACCGATGGGTTTTGAAGGATTTCGGCGTTCGCGCGCGACCACGCGCGCGTCTGCACTTCGTCTTATTTTTTGCAGAGGATTCTCGTGACGGCACACGCGCAAGAGCGTTCGACAGATTTCGACATGCGCGCGCGAAGCCCGTTTGGTAGCATTTTGTGAAAATCTTGAAAAACCTTATGGTTTTTTGAAGATTTCGCAAGAGCTCGCGCGGAAGCTTTTTTAGCAAATCAGTGTTGCGAAACCATGCGTTTTTGTATGTTTTTTGGAAATTCGATTGCGAAATCCTTCCGGCACCGAAGGTTTTTGAAGGATTTCGGCATGCGCGCGCGACGACGCGCGCGTGTGCACTTCGTCTCATTTGTTGCAAGGGATTCGTGAAAAAAGTGCTATGTTAGAACAAAAAATGTCACCGCATAGTGTTTTTTACAAGGCACCCTCAGGGCGGGGGAAACCGGCCTGCCTGGGATGGTATGATTTCATATTTAGGATGGACGAGTGTGCAGAATATATATATGAAATTATATGATCCCAGGGGGAAGCGTTAAGTCCAGGGGGGGAGAGTTTATTCTCTTTTTAGAAAGGAGAATCTACGTGGTGCAGGCCATGTGTTGTGCAACATGTGTGGTGCAATCTATGTGGCGCAAGCTGTGTGGTGCAAGCTATGCAGTGCACGCCATGTGGTTTAAGCTATGCGGTACAAGCTACTCGGTGCAAGCTATGTAGTGCAAGCTATGTGATGTAGGTGACCGATGCTTCGCGCATCCCCACCAGTCTCTAGAAACGATCGCCAGGCGAGTTAGTTGGATCAGGGAGATGTATCGGAGGTTGGGGGGTGAGTCCGACGTGAAACGGAGACCCCCTTTACCAGGAAATCGATTTCGGGTTCGGGTTCGTGTCGTGCGTGCCGTGCGTGCGTGCGGGCGAGGCGAAGCTGCGTGGGCGGGCGAGAGGAAATCCTCCTGTGGCTGGGCCGCGGCCGGACCAAATGTAACTCCTCCGGCGGCCGGTGCCGCGCGGTGTCCCGCCGGTGTCCCGCTGGTGTCCCGAAATCCTCCTGTGGCTGGGCCGCGGCCGGACCAAATATTTCTCTTCCAGCGGCCGGTGCCGCGCGGTGTCCCGCCAGTGTCCCGCTGGTGTCCCGTGGTGTCCCGTTGAGTGAGATCGATAGTGAGATCGATAGTGAGACCAATAGTGAGATCGATAGTGAGATCGATGTGGTGCCCCAAGGTGTCCCGTGGTGTTCCAAAAAATGAGATCGATAGTGAGATCGATAGTGAGATCGGCAGGTGTCCCGTGGTGTCTCGTCGTGTCCCGTGGTGTCCCGTTGAGTGAGATCGATAGTGAGATCAATCGTGAGATCGATGTGGTGTCCCGAGATGTCCCGTGGTGTCCCGTTGAGTGAGATCGATAGTGAGATCGATAGTGAGACCGATAGTGAGATCGAGAGGTGTCCCGCGGTGTCCCGTGGTGTCCCGTGGTGGCCCGTGTTGTCCCGTTGAGTGAGATCGATAGTGAGATCGATAGTGAGATCGACAAGTGTCCCGTGGTGTCCCGTGGTGTCTTGTTGAGTGAGATCGATCGTGAGATCGATTGAGTCAGATGTTGGTAGTTCCCCCCCTCTCCACCCCCAACAACATCCTTATCACCCGAAGGGTGGTCGTATAGGTAAACATGTAGTGGGACGCGGCACATCCGCCCACAAGCATATCAATTGGCCTTCGGCCCATCCCGCCACCGTGCCTGGGTTGTGGGTATGAAGCCTTGGAGTGTTCGCTGGGATCTCGTGGGAGGCCTCGCGGGGGCCTCTTAAAGACAGTTTGGTCGCCTCTCGGGGGCCGTTTGGGGGGCCTCTTTTAGGCTTCTTGGGGGCCTCTTGGGGGTTCTTAGGGGCGTCTTTGGGGCCTCTTGCCTCTTGGGGGTTCCTTTCGGCGGAAGGCTAGGATTTTGTGTCCGTGTTCCCTCTCTTGGGCTCCGTTCAGGGCTGTCTTGGGGCCCTCTTGGGCCGTCTTGGGGCCCCCTTGGGCCGTTTCGGGGCCTTCTTGGAGACCTCTTGGGCCGTCTTGGGGCGGTCTTGGGGACCTCCAGGGCCACCTGGGAGCGTCAGGAATCCGAAACGGCGAGAAAGCCGAAACCTTCAAAAACTCAAGGCAAATCGATGTTGGCCTCTTGGGGCCATCTTGGGATGCCTCTTGGAGGCCTCGTGGGGTGTCTTGGAGGCCTCTTGGGCCGTCTGGGGGCCACGTTGAGCGTCTGGAAGCGATCGTTCGGCGACTCGGGGCCCTCTTCGACTGTTTTGGGGGCCCCTTGTAGCCCTCTTGGCCCGTCTTGGGGCCTCTCTTGGGGCCGACAAAGTCACGCGAGAAGAGATGGCGGGAACCCCAGTGGAACTGCGCCAAGCCCGTGGAGATTTGAGAATTCGGGGTCCGGGCCCCTTGAAAGATCCTTCTGGGCCGAGGACTGAGGCCGAAGGGATTAGGCAAAGGACTTGAGGGCACGCCCACTCCGTGGCCCGATGCACGATGGCGGATACGGGAGACCGAATCTTACCCGCGACGGGGGATCCAATCCAGCATCGCGCTCAGTGCATCTAGAACCAATGCGCAGGCAAGCCCGCGGTGTCGTCGGAGCCTCGTAGAGGCCTCCCTGTGCCAGCTTGGGGACAAGGGGGGGGGGGGAATACGGGGGAGGTTGTGGGCGAGAATGCGATGAGCCGAGATTTCCCGGGTCCATCTCTGGCCACTGTCGTTGGCCGCGACCCGCTCGAGAGGCTCCGACGTGGGCGTCAGGGTGCATTGCACATGTCTCGCGCCTCCCTGGTGAGACGGGCCGAGCGTGCCTCTCTCGAGCGCAGGTGGAGCCCGCAGCGCGAGCACGGCTTGGGGAATCGAGATCCACGCTCGCCGAGCGCGTTCGAAGTGCCTACTCGCAAACGTCCGAAAAAAAACACATGTCTGCTTCGATGTACAGGGCAGTTTGTTTAATACATAGGATGTTTAAAAACATAGGATTTGCAATACATGGTTATATATGAATAAATGTATGCATGAACTCATCCTTGCTTTTCATACTAAGTCCCTGCATCTTTCATACATGATCCGCACGCGGAGCATGTATTAAAACCGGCGCCGCAATCTATCGTCGAACCCTCGCGGCGGATCCCGTCGATCTGCGAGCAGTGGCTCTGCGAGTCGTGGAACGCACTCGTCTGCACACAGCGCGCTCAAGCCGGCAATGCGTTGTACTACCCGGGGGGGCAGGGGCGGCAGCTGCCCGAGAGGGCGGGCGGGCGGGCGAGAGGGTCCGCGGCGGCGCCCCCCCAGGTGTGCTCGCGGTGGTGTTTGCCGGTGGCGTCTTCTCCGTCTACGCCTGGCCTCGCTTCGCATCCAAGGACTGGTGCCTCTTCCCCCTTTTTATCGAAGAAGAAGAAGAAGAAGGAAAGAGAAACATGTAAAACACAATTGCTTGTTTAAGAAACGCCGCCGGGGGGGCCCAGCGCGGATCCAAGAAGTCCGCGCGGAGCTCCAAAAGTTCATATGTATGCAGTTATGTCCATTCCTCTATTTGATTGTCTCCCAGCCCACCCTTGCTTCAAGCCCCGTCCGCAAGTGGAGGCGCAGGAGAGCACGAGGGGAAAGAGACGGAGGAGGTGGAGGCGAGGATCAGAAGAAGAAAAGCAGTAGGAGGAGGGAGAGGGAAAGGAGCGTGAGGATCAGGAGGAGGAGCGAGAGTAGAAAGACGAGGAGGAGTAGAAAGACGAGGAGGAGGGGAGGGAGTCGAAGAGGGGAGGAGGAGAAGGGGGAGGAGCAGGAAGATCCGCAGGTGGAGGAGGACGAGAGGTGAGGAGGAGGGGCTGGGGATCGGCAGCCACTGGCAGGAGCTGTCCCAAGGGCTGGGGCCCAGGAGCAACGGGAGTAGGAGAAGCAGGAGTAGTAGTAGGAGGAGGAGGAGGAGGAAGAGGAGGAGGAGGAGGGGGAGGAGTAGGAGGAGGAGGAGGGAGGAGGAAGAGGAGGAGGGAGGGAGGAGGAGGAGGGGGAGGAGGAGGAGGCGCGTAGGAGAGGAGGAGGAGGAGGAGGAGGAGGAGCAGGAGCAGGAGGAGGAGGAGGAGGGCGCGTGTCCAGGCGGAGTCCCACCAGCACCACGACCCCCGCGACCAAGACAGCACTACCTGTGCTGTTTGTAATATATAACATATCATACACATACATACATTACATACATACATTAAATACATACATACATCATATATACATACAAACATACATACATAACATAACATACATCCATCCATCATCCATCCATACATACATACATCCATATATATATATATATAATATAGATATATATATATATATATAATTATATATCGCCCTCGGCCGCCGGCTGCGGCCCCGGCGGCCTCGGCATAGGGACGGCAGGGACGCCGACGACGAAACCGGGAATTGCTCTTTGTCACCGCCTTTTCTCGCTGGGGCGCCGCGGCCACCCCCCCCATGGCATGTCTTGGTCGCAGGGCCGCATGCTGCCCCATCGCTTGTGTGATTGTGCACAGGTAGTCGTTTTGTTTCACAGTGTCCTCATTGCCGTCCCCACTAATGGGGCGAGCGGCTCTCTGAGCCGCCCGGCCGGACTTGCTTGCTTGCTGGGGGGGGGCACGCCAGAGGTGCGGCATCAGGGCGCGCTTGCTCTGGGGACGAGTGCCTGTCGATCTGCGTCGCGACTCCTCGCGCAGTGCGTCTCGATTCGGCTGGACAGCCCAACTGGCCCGCTTATTCATTGCTCTCCTGTCGGATATCGGTCTTGCGTTGTCCCAATATCGGTCATTGTCTATGTGTAGCTGTAGCGTAGCTTACCTGCTGTACCTCTTATGCTGTGCACTACAAGTCTAGTTGTGAGGAAGGGATGGCTTTGCAAGTGACCTTGGCGCCATTGAACATGCCTGTCTTCTTTTGTGGAGGACCGTTTGCTCATGAACGGCCACCGTGGCTTTCCCGGGCCTCTGCGCCCTGACTGCCCATCCCCTGGGGCTTGTTTCGATTATGGGTCGGGCCGTGAAGAGTGCGCTGAAGACGACCACGGCGCCCTCGGAGAGGCGTTCTCTTGGCGAGGCGCAGCCTTCTGGGCGGGGCCCGCGTCTGAGCACCAGCGCCCACCCGTGTCCCACGGCCTGCAGCCGGGCCCCTCCCCTTCTCGGACCCCCACCCAAACGGGGACACTGATACACCAGGACACTGGCGCGCCTCAGACCGCTGCAGGTAAGTCGGACCTGTCCCTCTACAGGAGGATAAGTATATGCAAAAACAGTTTTAACAAAAAATAGTCAGGTGACGATGCTTTGCTATGTTTGAATATGGTGGGGGATGACTGAGTTGTTGTGTTTATTAGTTGTTCGTCTAAGATCCGCCTGCAGGGCCGAGACACTCTCCATCCCAAAAGTCATTGCTAGAAATGTCCTCGCTCGGGGAGGACGAGGAGGAGGAGGAGGAGGAGGAGGAGGAGGAGGAGGGAGGGAAGGA